CAGACACCAAAAGAGCATAGGTTTCAATATGAAGATAGGAGTGAATCAATACAAGCCAAGGGATGACGTGATTCCCAATTCATATGCATTTCCCGTACGATATCTTGAGACCCATTCGGACGGAAAGGCATGTCTTTTGGCAAACAAAGAGCGGATACTTTGGTTGTCACAAAAGTTGCCAAATATAAAGCGCTTAACAATCGGTCCCTTTGACACCAATTACAAGACATTACACGATATTCTCGAAGCGTTTCAATCCGTCAATTGGCTAAACATGTATGGCTTTAAAGGTATTACAGACACACAGTTCCGACAATTGGGACAACTCTTGTCGGGAAGAGTCACCAAATGTGTGGCAAACACTCACTACAAGTATTGTAAAGGAAATATCGTTGGATTGATTGAAGAGATGAAAGGATTAGTAAAACTTGTTGTTTGGATCAATAATCGAGAAGATATGGCAAAATTGTTCAATTGTTTGCCTCAAAGTATTAAATCGTTGGACATCACATCATTCACTCATAATGTCTTAGACCTCGAAATGGCCGAAAATTTAATGACAAGCAATGCAAGACATTTAGATTATCTATATATCGATGGCCTAATCATTACAGAAGAGGCACTCGAGATGATTAACAATGGTTTGGATCTGAAAGCATTTGGCTATGATTTGACTGGAATTACAGGAGACAACAATGAATGGCATTGTTTGCAAAGTGTGGCCAAAAAACAGACAAAACTCATATATTTAAGCCTCAATTCTTCGGTATTTGCCGATTATGAATACAGTGAACAGTGGTATCGATTCCCAAATGTGAAAACACTTGATCTGTTTCACTGTCACATATCTGAATTGGCGTTTGAGGCACTCATGAGATGCTTCCCGGGGCTCAAGACTATTGTAATAAATCACACAGAGATAGTCGATGAGACTCAAGAGGACGAATGTGTGAAATGTTTTGGGCAAATGTTTCATTTGATGGCAAAACACACATCCATTAAAAGATTGGTTATCTTTGATAAGTACTGCTCTACAAAGACCGCCGTTTTGTGTAAACAACTCAACGATTTTCACAATTTATCGGCCATTCATTTGGATCGTAATTCCAATGACAAACACAAGAATTATATAACTTTTTGCCATCGATTTATCACTAAATTTATCGATTGGTATGAAATACAACCGAAAAAGTGGTTCACAATATGTGTTGACAACAATACCGGAGATCTCAGTATTGACCGCAAAATACCCAGAAATTTGAGAATTAGAAAATGTTTGTATTGAAAACACTATTTATTTAGAACTCAAATAAAAAGATATCAAACAATATTTTGATTATATTTATTTAACAAATAGTTTTAATGTATTAATTTAAAGTATAAACTTATAAATTTTTTTCTCTCTCTCTCTCCCATTCACTCACTCAATATATGTTTTTCTACATACTTTTTATTAAAGCTTTAGTTAAATAAAACTTTATTTACTAAATATAATTATTTTTCATATAATTATATATGATGATAATCCAGGTTTATTATAAATATACAATTAAAAAGTATTTAATTTAAAGTTGAAAATGTGTTAATTTAAAGGAAAACATGCGATAAATAAATAATAATCTCTCGTATCCTTACAGCGCATATGACTCTCCCTTTTATCAATTCATTTGCTGTTATAATCTGTTAATAAAACTGATTGAAAGTCTGTATTGAAATGTGATGTTTGCAGACATTAAACCTCAACATTGATTTCACAGCTATTGCTGCCAATAAACAAGTTATTACATTATATAACAGCCCATTGGATAATATAGTGAACACACCATTCATATACACGATATGATTCTGTGATTATTAGATGTGTACCTACAATAATAACTAATCTTGTTAAGTTATACCACATTTTAATACAAAATCTATGTAAATCTAATTAATTGAAGTTTACATTAATAAAATAAATGTACAAAAACATGTCGAATCATTAGAAAAAAAAGTTTTATATTGAATGTTTAAGGTAGTAATTATATTTGAACAAGTTATAATATTTTCAAGGATATTGGTTGAATGTCGGGACAAACACTCAATTCCCACACAATATATAGACATTTTACAACACATGTATGCATTCAATACGATATTTAATGTTTATTATACTATAAACAGTGTTTTAATTGACTGGTGTTTAAAGTGATGTTTGTATCCATTGGTTATTATCACTAGTATTTCATAATAATATTTTTAATGATAACTGACTTAATCGACAGAAAGTGTTTAGATTATTGTTTAATGGATTGTGTTTTAGTCCACATATAATAATAATGCCGTCAAAAAAGTTTACAAAAATTTGCTCAATTTGTGGCGAAAAGGCTATCGGTATGAATGAATGTTACAATTTTGACAATTAATAAATATAAATTATATAATAAATGTACTGTTATTTCCTATTCATATCGCTGTTTATCTAAAACTTTTAGTACTAATCATAATATTCATGTGATTTCCCTTTTGAGCTGTCCTTTTAGTACTAAAATCAATATTTTATTTTTCATTGAAAATTATTATTATTATTAACTAATTATTTATTTTATATGATAATAGGTTATAATTTTTGTGCCATTTCTTGTGAGTCATGTAAAGCCTTCTTCCGGAGGAATGCAACCAAATTAGATGTAAATATTTGTTTTAATTATTTTATAAATTTTATAAAACAAAATATAATTTACATAATATATAATTGAATTGTGTGTCAACTATAACAGGAGTATAAGTGTCCGTTTGAGGACAAATGCAAAGTAAATGTCGTGACCAGAAAATTCTGCCGCAAGTGTCGGCTCCGCAAGTGTTATGCCGTCGGAATGAAACAGGTTTTCAATTAAAACTATTATCATTTAGTTATTAACAACTAGACAATTAATTTACTAATAATCTAGATAACTATTATAAGTTACTAAATGAATATTTAATAATTCCTTTTCATTATAAAAGTAAAATTAATTAATTTAAAAAGTTTTCAATTGCTAAACAAACACAATATAACTAAATATCACTAAACATATGAATATTGACCACAATTTCAATGAATAACACAAAGGAATGGATTCTCAACGACGAGGAGAAAGAGTTGCGGAAGAATAAGATCGAAGAGAACCGAAAGATCAAAGAGATTACCGACAAAAAGGCCACCAAAACAAAGCACCCGAAACAGCCGGCGGGCAGTCTATCGCCGCCGCAAACATCGACCAGCGGTGACACAACCGCTGATCTCTTTGACACCAACTCTAACACAATTATCAGCGACGACGACATCATCACCAATATTATGGATATCGAGCGATATCTCACACCAAACGACAACAACAACAGCGCCGATGATATGACCGTCGATACGATGACCACAATAATGACCGACAACTGCGGCGACGGCACCGGCTGTTCGGCGGGAGAGTCGGCCGACGGCGACGAGATCTCTGACCGCACGTACCAGAAGGCGGTGGAGTTGGAGTTGGCTGTACTGCCCATACCTAAGCCGCTGGACAACTGTACGGCGCTGAATGAGGCCGAACGGACACGAATGGCCGAGTTGTTCAAAGTTCAGGCGGCGCTCAATTGGAAGCGTTTGCCCGACAATAAACTGGTGGCCGAAACCATTGATGAAGTGATCAAGTTTTTTGTCTCAAAGTTTGATATCTATGTCCAACACCTCGTGGACACCACTAAACAGTTGGCCGCGTTTCAGTGCCTGTGCGAGAATGATAAGATCGCCCTGGTAAAATATTCTAGCCTCGAGATACTGCTTATGCGTACAGCCATTAATTTTAATTACGAAAATGAGTACTGGACTTTTATCATGGTAATTTTTTTTATTTGTTTTATAATTCTGTAAACATGTTAATTTTTATTTTGTATATTAATTAATATTTACATTTATAAAACTAATTGAATATATGTTTGTCTCTAAAAAACAGGACGAAGAGAATTCAATAATACTTAAACTGGATTTATTGAAATCAGTCAAAAGGGACTGTTATTCATATTTTAGGACATTTCTACACAAATTTGGCAGCGAATGGGATTCCGACCCTTTTATTATAGATTTGGTAATTAATATAAAATATTTCATTACTTTTCAAACACATAATCATATTATTTTGACCCATAGTTAATGCCGATAATACTGTTCAATCCCGAGCGACCAAACATTATCGATAAGGAGTATATTAAGTGAGTGAACACGTGTGACAAATTAACCTAGCTTATCTAATGTGTATTCTTATGATTACCATGGGTAGAGTTCAACAACAGATCTACATGTATTTACTTCAACGCTATTTACGGCTGAAATACCCGTCGGAATGCGAAACAAAGGCCAAATTCTTGCGGATTCTGAATCTATTGGAATATTTGCAAAAATTGGATGAAATTCATAAATTGAATTACAGGGAGACGACCGACAATCCCATGGACTTCGGGCCCATTATGCGCGAAGTGTTTGACATACCGGCCATCGATGCCATACCAGCCCCTGAGCTCAGAGTAGAAGCGATCACTCAATGAAATTGTGATTTATTTTTTAATTTTATTGTTTTTGTGATTTTTATAGTTAATATTAATTTTGTTTATATATAAAGTGTCATTAAAATAAGACAATTGTTTGCATAACTTTTGTATAAAAAGTAATCATGTGGTGTTTTTAATAAATTAGCTTATTTAGTGTACAGTATTTACTGTACAATAAATATCTGTAGATGATATTTTTATTTAAATTGAATCTTAAGATTTAAATATTTATATTTTATAATTGTCATAAATATTTTAGCAAATATTGAGTGTAAATACTAAAAGTAATTATACTCAGGTCGTGTGATCTAGGTAAAATGTTTACTTGAATGTTCATGTGCACTTTAAATTGCACAGATGAATGTAATAACATTATGCATGTAAATAAATTTAATAAATCATGGTGTATAAAATAAATGCAACGTTAATTATAATTTCCATAACTGAATATTTATAAATATTTTATTTGTAACAAATAAAATGTCATAACGCAAAATAAAAATCTATATTTGTTATAAATAGGACAAATAAACATTGTAACAATTTTATTTTTACATACATGTCATGTTATTCTACTACCAAGGTCAGCAGAACTATGAAAATTATAAATTTAATTATACAACACACAGTTTGACTTATTCTTTGTATTGATAATACAGTACATTAAGTAATAAGATAATTTTATTTTGTAATATGCACGATAATTTTTATCACAATATTTGTAATTATTTTATTTATTGTACTAAAATAATATTTTATATAGATAATTCAAATAAAATTAAAATAATTATTATGTACTTAAAGAGTTTAATTATGCGCCAAACTAATTGATTGTGGTAAAAATGGATTTATTAATGATTAACACTAACCATTATGCCCTTAATTAGCATGTAAAGTATTATTACATTTAAAATTAATTTAAAATATGTGATAATTTAAACAAAATTGTTATTAATACAGTATATTTAATACATAGATACAACAAGTTTACTACAAATAATATAAAACTGCACTAAATAGCAGATAAATGAAAAATAATATGAAAAACAAGTTTTAAAAGTTAGCGGCACTGCTATAGCATTGAGAATATTGTGAAATTATTATGGGATTGACTGCACTGTAAAGGTATATTACATTGGGAGGTTTATAGCTAATGCACATGCACATTTTATGCTTGCCAATGTTACCAACACAGACTAACACTGTACTTTATCATACAGTACTGGGAACATTAGGGTGGTTATGCACTTCTCAGCATACATTTATGTAATTTATTCGTACTTTTATGTAATAACATAGTATGAAAATACACTGTAAGGGAAATTATTGCTAAATGTTTACATTCACAATACAAACGACTGGAGAATTATTTTTCTTTGTATAATCAATAATTAGTGAATTGTTTGATTTTTTAAACGCTATGTTAATTAGTGTTTGAATATTTCAAAATATTTTTTGTGTAAAATGTATTTTAAAATTCTTTGTCCTGATGTCTGTCTGACTTAATGTACAATTAATACATTGTAAAATAATTTTCATGTTATTATTAGCAACAATATTATGTGTTTATACATTTGGTGTTGCCATTAGTGATTGAACTGTGTCATTTAGATTATTTACAATTAATATTATTACGGTGTTATAAATATCTATTAATTGTTTGGCTATATATTTAAATTAAAACCCAAACAATGCCTACAAAAAAGAAGTTCACAAAAATATGCTCCGTTTGCGGCGAAAAGGCTATCGGTATGAATGATATCATAATTTATTGTTCAATTAAATTGCAAATAATCAAGAATTTAACTCATTTTATGATAACATTTTGATGTAAACCTATTTATACAATAATAATGTTTATTTAACATTAACAAGATTGACTTAAAATCAATCTTGTTAGACTTAAGATCTATTTAAATATATTTATTTATTTATTAATAGTGATTTAACCATGTACAGTATTAATTAACATTTACTTTCATAATAGGTTACAATTTTTGTGCCATTTCTTGTGAGTCGTGTAAAGCGTTTTTTAGAAGAAATGCCACTAAATTAGAGGTAAAGTGTTTTACATTATTTAAATTATAATTACTTTTATTAATACCATAATGTAATTCAATTGTGTGTTAACTATAACAGGAGTATAAGTGTCCGTTTGAGGACAAATGCAAAGTAAATGTCGTGACCAGAAAATTCTGCCGCAAGTGTCGGCTCCGCAAGTGTTATACCGTTGGAATGAAACAGGTTTTCAATTAAAAACAATTATTATTTAGTTATTAACAACTAGACTATTAATTTACTAATAACCTAGATAACTAACTTTATTATAAATTACTAAATGAATATTTAATAAATGCATTTCATTATAATAGTAATTAAAAACACAATTCTAATAATAATAATGATCTAACTAGTTATTTACAAACTATGCACCAAAATTAAATAGTTAATTAAATAGTTAATTATTTAAAATAATAAAAGCAATTAATTTCCAAACAATTAACACAAGGAATGGATTCTCAACGACGAGGAGAAAGAGTTACGTCGACTACAGATAGAGGAGAACCGGAAGTGGAGAGAAACCAATGATCATAAAAATGACACCAAAACCAGTGACCCGTCGACGACAAGCATACCATCGCCGGCCGACACGGCGGACACCGACACCACTATTAGCCTATTGGACGCGTTTGACAGCACAGACATCACCGACGAGGAGACAATAGTGGCCAACATATTGCACATCGAAAGCTATATCTCCGACACCAACTGTTCCAACACTTCCAACAGTAAAATCACCAAAACTACAGCCAAAGACCAGATATCGGACGAGACGTACGACAAGGTGGTGGAGATGGAGCTATCAGTGCTACCTATACCTCAGGTGCCGGTCAACGACGTTAGCTCATTGAACGAGATCGAGTGGGCCAGACTGACCGAGTTGTTTCAGCTCACGGCCGATCTGCACCGGCCCCGACCCGAGACCAGGCTGGTGGCCCGAGATGGGCGACAAGTGGCCCAGTTCTTTGCCACCAAGTTCGAGTCGTTTGTCGGTAGGTTTGTGAACGTGATGAAACGGCTGTCCGCTTTCCAGACCATATGCGAGAATGACCAAATTGCCCTGATCAAATATAGCAGTATCGAGGCGTTACTTATGCGCACAGCCCTCTACTTTGATTACGACCAAGAGTTTTGGACATTTATTC